TTTTCTTTCTTTTTGCCCTAGCGCCTTTAGTTTAGCCAGAAAATAGACTTTTATATTTTCACTCAAAAACTCGGTTTTTGGTTGGAAATTAAAGTGATCACAGATTTTCTTTCTTTTTGCCCTAGCGCCTTTAGTTTAGCCAGAAAATGGACATTTATGTTTTCACTCAAAATCTCGGTTTTTCGTAGGAAATTGAAGTGATCACAGATTTTCTTTCTTTTTGCCCTAGCGCCTTTAGTTTAGCCAGAAAATAGACTTTTATGTTTTCACTCAAAAACTCGGTTTTTCGTAGGAAATTGAAGTGATCACAGATTTTCTTTCTTTTTGCCCTAGCGCCTTTAGTTTAGCCAGAAAATGGACTTTTGTGTTTCCACTCAAAAACTCGGTTTTTCGTTGGAAATTAAAGTGATCACAGATTATCTTTCTTTTTGCCCTAGCGCCTTTAGTTTAGCCAGAAAATGGACTTTTATGTTTTCACTCAAAAACTCGGTTTTTCGTAGGAAATTAAAGTGATCACAGATTTTCTTTCTTTTTGCCCTAGCGCCTTTAGTCTAGCCAGAAAATAGACTTTTATGTTTTCACTCAAAAACTCGGTTTTTCGTAGGAAATTAAAGTGATCACAGATTTTCTTTCTTTTTGCCCTAGCGCCTTTAGTTTAGCCAGAAAATAGACTTTTATATTTTCACTCAAAAACTCGGTTTTTGGTTGGAAATTAAAGTGATCACAGATTTTCTTTCTTTTTGCCCTAGCGCCTTTAGTTTAGCCAGAAAATGGACTTTTGTGTTTCCACTCAAAAACTCGGTTTTTCGTTGGAAATTAAAGTGATCACAGATTATCTTTCTTTTTGCCCTAGCGCTTTTAGTTTAGCCAGAAAATGGACTTTTATGTTTTCACTCAAAAACTCGGTTTTTCGTAGGAAATTAAAGTGATCACAGATTTTCTTTCTTTTTGCCCTAGCGCCTTTAGTCTAGCCAGAAAATAGACTTTTATGTTTTCACTCAAAAACTCGGTTTTTCGTAGGAAATTAAAGTGATCACAGATTTTCTTTCTTTTTGCCCTAGCGCCTTTGGTTTAGCCAGAAAATAGACTTTTATGTTTTCACTCATAAACTCGGTTTTTCGTAGGAAATTAAAGTGATCGCAGATTTTCTTTCTTTTTGCCCTAGCGCCTTTAGTTTAGCCAGAAAATGGACTTTTATATTTTCACTCAAAAACTCGGTTTTCGTAGGAAATTAAAGTGATCACAGATTTTCTTTCTTTATGCCCTAGCGCCTTTAGTTTAGCCAGAAAATGGACTTTTATGTTTTCACTCAAAAACTCGGTTTTTCGTAGGAAATTAAAGTGATCACAGATTTTCTTTCTTTTTGCCCTAGCGCCTTTAGTTTAGCCAGAAAATAGACTTTTATGTTTTCACTCAAAAACTCGGTTTTTGGTAGGAAATTAAAGTGATCACAGATTTTCTTTCTTTTTGCCCTAGCGCCTTTAGTTTAGCCAGAAAATGGACTTTTATGTTTTCACTCAAAAACTCGGTTTTTCGTAGGAAATTAAAGTGATCACAGATTTTCTTTCTTTTTGCCCTAGCGCCTTTAGTTTAGCCAGAAAATGGACTTTTATGTTTTCACTCAAAAACTCGGTTTTTGGTTGGAAATTAAAGTTATCACAGATTTTCTTTCTTTTTGGACTTTTATATTTTCACTCAAAAACTCGGTTTTCGTAGGAAATTAAAGTGATCACAGATTTTCTTTCTTTATGCCCTAGCGCCTTTAGTTTAGCCAGAAAATGGACTTTTATGTTTTCACTCAAAAACTCGGTTTTTCGTAGGAAATTAAAGTGATCACAGATTTTCTTTCTTTTTGCCCTAGCGCCTTTAGTTTAGCCAGAAAATAGACTTTTATGTTTTCACTCAAAAACTCGGTTTTTGGTAGGAAATTAAAGTGATCACAGATTTTCTTTCTTTTTGCCCTAGCGCCTTTAGTTTAGCCAGAAAATGGACTTTTATGTTTTCACTCAAAAACTCGGTTTTTCGTAGGAAATTAAAGTGATCACAGATTTTCTTTCTTTTTGCCCTAGCGCCTTTAGTTTAGCCAGAAAATGGACTTTTATGTTTTCACTCAAAAACTCGGTTTTTGGTTGGAAATTAAAGTTATCACAGATTTTCTTTCTTTTTGGACTTTTATATTTTCACTCAAAAACTCGGTTTTTCGTAGGAAATTAAAGTGATCACAGATTTTCTTTCTTTATGCCCTAGCGCCTTTAGTTTAGCCAGAAAATGGACTTTTATGTTTTCACTCAAAATCTCGGTTTTTGGTTGGAAATTAAAGTGATCAAAGATTTTCTTTCTTTTTGCCCTAGCGCCTGTAGTTTAGCCAGAAAATGGACTTTTATGTTTTCACTCAAAAACTCGGTTTTTCGTAGGAAATTAAAGTGATCACAGATTTTCTTTCTTTTTGCCCTAGCGCCTTTAGTTTAGCCAGAAAATGGACTTTTATGTTTTCACTCAAAAACTCGGTTTTTCGTAGGAAATTAAAGTGATCACAGATTTTCTTTCTTTTTGCCCTAGCGCCTTTAGTTTAGCCAGAAAATAGACTTTTATGTTTTCACTCAAAAACTCGGTTTTTTGTACGAAATTAAAGTGATCACAGATTTTCTTTCTTTTTGCCCTAGCGCCTTTAGTTTAGCCAGAAAATAGACTATTATGTTTTCACTCAAAAACTCGGTTTTTGGTTGGAAATTAAAGTGATCACAGATTTTCTTTCTTTTTGCCCTAGCGCCTTTAGTTTAGCCAGTAAATGGACATTTATGTTTTCACTCAAAAACTCGGTTTTTCGTAGGAAATTGAAGTGATCACAGATTTTCTTTCTTTTTGCCCTAGCGCCTTTAGTTTAGCCAGAAAATAGACTTTTATGTTTTCACTCAAAAACTCGGTTTTTCGTAGGAAATTAAAGTGATCACAGATTTTCTTTCTTTTTGCCCTAGCGCCTTTAGTTTAGCCAGAAAATAGACTTTTATGTTTTCACTCAAAAACTCGGTTTTTGGTTGGAAATTAAAGTGATCACAGATTTTCTTTTTTTTTGCCCTAGCGCCTTTAGTTTAGCCAGAAATGGACTTTTATGTTTTCACTCAAAATCTCGGTTTTTGGTTGGAAATTAAAGTGATCACAGATTTTCTTTCTTTTTGCCCTAGCGCCTTTAGTTTAGCCAGAAAATAGACTTTTATGCTTTCACTCAAAAACTCGGTTTTTCGTAGGAAATTAAAGTGATCACAGATTTTCTTTCTTTTTGCCCTAGCGCCTTTAGTTTAGCCAGAAAATTGACTTTTATGTTTTCACTCAAAAACTCGGTTTTTGATTGGAAATTAAAGTGATCACAGATTTTCTTTCTTTTTGCCCTAGCGCCTTTAGTTTAGCCAGAAAATGGACTTTTATGCTTTCACATTAAAGTGATCACAGATTTTCTTTCTTTTTGCCCTAGCGCCTTTGGTTTAGCCAGAAAATTTACTTTTATGTTTTTGCCCTAGCGTCTTTAGTTTAGCCAGAAAATGGACTTTTATGTTTTCACTCAAAATCTCGGTTTTTGGTTGGAAATTAAAGTGATCACAGATTTTCTTTCTGTTTGCCCTAGCGCCTTTAGTTTAGCCAGAAAATAGACTCTTATGCTTTCACTCAAAAACTCGGTTTTTCGTAGGAAATTAAAGTGATCACAGATTTTCTTTCTTTTTGCCCTAGCGCCTTTTGGTTTAGCCAGAAAATGGACTTTTATGTTTTCACTCAAAAACTCGGTTTTTGGTGGGAAATTAAAGTGATCACAGATTTTCTTTCTTTTTGCCCTAGCGCCTTTAGTATAGCCAGAAAATAGACTTTTATGTTTTCACTCAAAAACTCGGTTTTTGGTGAGAAATTAAAGTGATCACAGATTTTCTTTCTTTTTGCCCTAGCGCCTTTACTTTAGCCAGAAATTGGACTTTTATGTTTTCACTCAACTCGGTTTTTAATTGGAAATTTAAGTGATCACAGATTTTCTTTGTTTTTGCCCTAGCGCCTTTAGTTTAGCCAGAAAATGGACTTTTATGTTTTCACTCAATAACTCGGTTTTTAATTGGAAATTAAAGTGATCACAGATTTTCTTTGTTTTTGCCCTAGCGCCTTTAGTTTAGCCAGAAAATTGAATTTTATGTTTTCACTCAAAAACTCGGTTTTTGGTTAGAAATTAAAGTGACCACAGATTTTCTTTCTTTTTGCCCTAGCGCCTTTAGTTTAGCCAGAAAATGGACTTTTATGTTTTCACTCAAAAACTCGGTTTTGGTTGGATATTAAAGTAATCACAGATTTTCTTTCTTTTTTTTTTTGCCCTAGCGACCTATATGTTTTCACTCTAAAAATCGATTTTTGGTGGGAAATTAAAGTGATCACAGATTTTCTTTCTTTTTTTTTTGCCCTAGCGACCTATATGTTTTCACTCAAAAACTCGATTTTTGGTTGGAAATTAAAGTGATCACAGATTTTCTTTCTTTTTGCCCTAGCGCCTTTAGTTTAGCCAGAAAATGGACTTTTATGTTTTCACTCAAAAACTCGTTTTTTCGTAGGAAATTAAAGTGATCACAGATTTTCTTTCTTTTTGCCCTAGCGCCTTTAGTTTAGTCAGAAAACGGACTTTTATATTTTCACTCAAAAACTCGGTTTTTGCTTGGAAATTAAAGTGATCACAAATTTTCTTTTTGCCCTAGCGCCTTTAGTTTAGCGAAACTCGGTTTTTTTAGGAAATTAAAGTGATTATAAACATATAAGAGTATAGATGTGAAACTTTTTTAGTTTTTTTTGTAATAGAAACTTCAAATTGAATCGGTAATGTGCTAATTGAAGGAATAATAATAATCTCATATTCTTTAAATGACACCCAATAAATAGCGTTTAATTAAAACACTATAATAAACCTAACAGTCTGGCAATACCATTATTTTGTTTTCTTCTGCCACACACTTCATTCATTTCAGTCTGACAGTTTTCCATTTACATTCTACCAGTACGTTTGCTTTCTTTCGTAACACAGCCAAACTAAAAAGTGATAATTTTAATAAATTAAATTTTACTTCAAAAGTGTAATAAAACAATAATGGGTACTCGCAAAAAAGGTGCAGAATTTATTAAACATATAACAGATATTATTAAAAATTCAACTGGTTTCGAAAAACATTTAGAAAAGGTAAGCTAAAAAAAAATTGTCAAGAAATTTCTTTCGCATAATCATTTCATTCATTGTTCTCTCATCAAAACAATTGGCAAGAAAAAAAAAAACAGCTACAGCTGAACATTCTCGCACGTTGAGCAATACAGCTGTTTTTTGTTTTGACTTTTTTTGTGTAGAAGACAGGGTGTTACAAGTAAAGTGGGAAATTGAAATATTTTTAAGTTTTGAAGCAGACTGTGGAAATTATTTAAATAGTTAAGTTTGAATTTAAAAATTCAATGGCAATATTTCGAATAGAAGAAGAGAACCACTGATTTGTAAAATTTTAGAAGGAGAAATACAACATTTTAGTCCTATCATAGTCATAACGTCTCTTAATTTCAAACATTTACCTTGTTTTTTGCCAACAACGGTTTTTTTTTTTTAAATTCTAATACTTCGGAGGGTTCATTCCGATATATGAAATACCTAGTGGTTAATCGATAACTAATTCTTTATAGTGAACAAATTATATAAGTTTCTATATATCGATTTGGTCCATATTTTTTAAATATTCAATGACCTCATCTAACTTTTGTTTCCTAAAAGTCTTTCTTATTTTGGGCTCTATAAGTAACCCCCATATTCATAAATGCTTAATAAAGTTGTTGATGGTTTATTGTAGGAATTTTGTATGGAAAATGTGTGTAATAAACCTAAAATAAACGAATAATATCATTATGAATACGGGGGTAAGTCTTGATGACTACAAATACATATAAAGTTTAATATATAGAATAGAATGACGTCTCAGTATTATAGGGAATTTCACGATGCTTTATGCAACCCGTTAAGTCAACCACTATATGTATATTAAAGGCTTTCAATAGTCCAGTTGTTCCTTTTCAATTTGGTCTTATAAAGCGGTGTAGTCTTCCATATTGAATGATTTATTTTTTTATTTTTAAACTGACATATTAAATTGTTATTTTGTAATTGTCTGAATTAGTTCATACTCATTTAATTAAATTCATTATTATGGATTCCCATTATACTAAAAAGCACATCATCTCGCCTCACTCTAAAAATTCTCTATATTAACAAATCAAATTTTTTCCCCCCTCCTTACTCTCGCTTTCTCCTACGCTCAGGTTAAAATAACCAGTGGTGGTGATGGAAAATGTTCAGCAGAGTTCACAGTAAGTCGTGAACATCTCAATCGTATGGGTGGTTTACATGGTGGTTTTACCGCCACACTCGTAGACATGGTCACCACTTATGCACTCATGTCGAAACCCTGTCATCCCGGGGTATCGGTTAGTATAAGTGTTGATTATCTTAAGGCAGCAAAAGAAGGTGATGATGTGCTCATCGATGCGAATCTGCTAAAGGCGGGTAAGAAACTCGCCTTCCTAGAGTGTATACTAAAACATAAGAAAGATAATTCTATAATTGCCAAAGGTAGTCACACAAAATATGTTGATTTTAAATGAAAATTCTATAAGATTTAATAGCGAAAATTAAAAAAAACTCTTGTTGAAGAACTACAATGTTTTAATCTTATTTAATTTTTATTTTATATTTTTTTTTTCAAATCATTACATTAGTTGTCTATAATTGTTTATATAGTACGTTTATAATTATTTTTTTTTTTTTTTGGTTTTTGTTTATTTTGTTTTAAGTTTGGCCATTCATTGTGTTTGGTTTTATAATTGTGTGTTTTTTTTTTTATTTTCTTAAAAGTGTTAAAGAATCTTAAAATTAAGTTTAGTATTTGATTTTTTTTTTGTTTGGTTTAATTCATTTGAACTAAGTTATTGTGCATAAAATGAATAATTTTCAGAAATTGTTTTGTGTATCAGAGTTTAAAAAATGTTATACATCATACAATATTTTTAAAAACGTTTTTAATCTCTTTTTGTTCTCAATAAAAAAAAATTGGGATTTCAATTGCTTAGTTTTTATTAAAAGTGGGTGGACAGTGGGGACAACATGCCATAGGTGGTGTTATGGGATCTACGCCCGGTAGACAATGGACTTCACCGCATTTCTCTTTTGTACAAGTAACCTGAGCCCGTCGGCATTCACATTTGGTACAATAGTCCGGTGTCCATACTTCGTTGTTTAAGCGTGTGGTGCCATTATCATCAACACAATGATTACGTTTGGTTGGTTTGGCATTGGTGTTGGCGTTGGCGTTAGAACTATCACAAGATTCCTCTAGTTTATGGATTTTCTTGTGTAGTTTTTTCAATTCTTTTTGGAAACTACTAACCACTTCCTCTAGTCCACCTACTCTTTCCTCATTAATATCCCAAAGTTCTTCTAAATGATTATTGGCTTCTGCTGCCACAGGTTCGGGTTGTTCTGCTGTATTAAGAGATCTCTTATTTCTACTGTGTGTATATGTTTGTGGTACATAGGTATCGAAGAGTGGCGGTAAACTACTGCAACTACCACAGTCTTGCCATAAATACAGGTTAATACCAGGTATATCCTCACATTTCTTATAACCTCCCTGGCGGCTGGGTAAAATGAAAACATTGTCGGTCATGTCTTCAATCTTATCGCCATTGTCACAGAGTACACGACCCAAATTAGCCTGTTTAATTTGATCCAATTGTTGAGGCAGAAAAACAGTGGGATTTTCATAATAGAATCTATCACCATCACGCAAACGTCTAAATTGTTCTACCAACAAACACTGGAATAGAGGACCCACTTTGCCACCCTCAACTTGCTCTTCCAAAATACCTCCTACCCAAACATCTATATTATCAGGATGACCATACAATTCCTTTAATTTATCTCTTACATCTTTGCTAATAATTTCCGCAGCCAAATCATCGAAAGTTTTGGCTTCAGTAAGATTACAGAATTTACGATAGACATTATAGCCGGGTATGCCATGATCACGACCTCTTTGTATATTAATAGCAGCCAAATCTAAGGCTACAGCATGGGCAGTTTGGAAAAGTTTTTCGGTCAATTCGGTATTAAGATTTTGGTCGGGTGTTTTTAATTTGGCCGGTACCGCAAACATGCCTCTCATTATAGCATCTACACCACCTTCATAGGCCAATCTCCAGGGTGCAAAGAAAGCCTTATGTAAAGGCAAATGTCCTTGAGGTATAGGCTCAAATGAGGCATTCAATCTATGCAATATGGGATTAATAATAGTATGACCAAATCTCAAAGCAGCAGTAGCAAACTCATTAGCAATACTGGGATTTATAGAAGAATCATAACCCTTATATTCACCCAACATGGCCATACCACTTTCGCCAATAATCAAGGGCAACCAGTGTTTATAGGTGATGTGTTGCATTTCTGCGCCCACTATTTTACGGGCCTCAAAGTAAATAGTATCACCATCCCAATGAGGATTTACATGTCTAAATTCATTAGCTATGCGATTATGTTCACGCATCCAAATGGTGTGCATGGCCAGTAAACCAACTTGCTCATTAACTCTAATATCTCCGGCCACAAAACAACTCATTTGATTTTCATCCAAATTACGGCGACAATCCATGCCATCTTGAGGAGCAGCAAATGGCAACATTTCACGTTGATTGGGGAAATGCACACCCACTCGTAAGAGACCATCATCGGTAGTAAGATTTCTCAATTCATTGGCAAATTGTTCACTAAAACCGTAAACTTGTGAGGCATCAATATACGAAGTCAATTGATTAATTTGTTCTCTATGCTGAACACTGTCAAAGAACACCGAAGTCATGCCAGAACCACAAATCGAACTCGAACGTACTACATCAATACAACGTCTATTCTTAATGCGAGGATCATTTGGTGGCACTTCAATGGGATAACAGGGAGGAGCAAATTCACAAGTTTTCTTACAATCAATACCATCCCAACTCTCAGAACTAACCGAGGGTATAGCATGATCCAGATCATGATCCAAAAATTGACCCCATTGCATCACCATATGGGTAATGGTATCATCTGGCGTAATATCTTTGGTGGATATTAGAGAAGTAGAAACCAATCTTGAACTGGGTTTGGGAAAACCAGCATACAACTTGTTCTTAGTCCAACCTATAGGCATGCTGAAACCATTTTCATATATAGGTTTCTCTATACGTCTAAAGGAAGTTAGCGAAGCACCCCAAGTGGGATGCAACAGATTGTTGCAAGTACCATCTAGTGTACGATATTTCGAATGGAAACACATATCCGTACAATTGGGCATTTCACGATGTTCCATACAACCCGATAATTCGGCCACTAAATGCAAATGTTCTCGAGATAAAAGATCCTTAAATTTATACTGATCACTTTCGATAGTTAAATTGTCACCCTTCAACACATGTTTCCTGATATTAACTAAAGTTCTTTCATAAATCTCAGCAGCTCTGGCCAATTGTCTGGCTTCTCCGGTGGGGAAACGGAATACTCTCAATAAATCTCCATAGTTGGGCGGTGCTCTTTCGCCATTGGGCCTAGTACGATTGCGATTTGTAAACAGCATGTCTATGGTGTTATTAATGGCCAAATCAATTTCCTTTGCTGCCTCCTCGAAAGCAATGCGTACATAACGATCTCCCGGAGCTACATCTTCATTATGTCTGTAAAAAAAGGAAAAAATGTTTTTAAAGATTTAGTAGGTTTAAATAATAGCAATAGTTAATAACCCTAGGAAAATATTTATATATAAATAAGTTTGTAATATACTATTGTTTACATACACAATAGGGTGGCTCCGTTTGTAAGCAACAAAATTAAGGTTCCCAGCGAAAATGAAAGCTTGGTTCATTCTAACATACCATTTCTTAAAATTTTTGTTCTGCAGTCAATATTTGGTGAGCTGAGTCTTAGAATGAACTAAATTTTCATTTTTGACAGGAACATATGTAACTTTCTTTTTGGGGCCGCCCCAATAATACACTATCTAAACAACATCCTTTACCAAAACCTATTGTGTGTTTATTTGGTCTACAGGAAAAAAAAAAGATTTTAACTTGATTGTTTTTACAATGCTCGTTATAGTCATTGTCGTTCCTTCTATATAGATAGAGTTTTAGTAACCACACTTTAATTTAAACTTAATTAAACAATAACAATGTCTATATTGTTTAAATACCTTACACACAGTACATCTGTTGCAGATGCCATTACTACGTTGGGGCTTTAAAAAATTTAAAGTTTTATTATGCTATAAATGGAAAAAATTCTTTAAATAATTTTTCTAAAAAAAAAAACTTTTTAAAATATTATGAGTTTTATTTACACCTGATTGAACTAATGTTCTTGTGTATATAGTTTAAATAAAACTCTTAACTAGATAAAAAAAATTTGCATTGTCTGCCATATAAATAGTTATGTTTTTGTTCATATTCCAGTCTAGTAGCTGTAGCATTGGCTTATGAGGAACACCTCTGCAGACTACGTAATAAAAAAAATGAATCGTATCGTTTTATGTGTGGATAACATAGGCGATAAGTCGTTGACATTGTCATAGCAAAGCTAGATGGTCTGTACTTATCAACTTTCCAAAGTTTTGGCAAAAATCATTGTATATTAGTTGCACTTTATTTGTTTAAAAAGTATAGATCAGGCCTATAGATCAGGTCATATGTGAGGAAGTTGCCTAGCATTTCCATTATATCTCTTAATCGTAGAGAAGATTTTCCATATACTTAACCCTCGCAGTCTACTAGTTTTCAACAGAATTAGTCACTTCTTCGACTGGGCTTTATAGGGGGGCATAGAGTTTCTCTTTCATTTCTTTCTTTAGGGTACTGACTGGGTTGAAATCTCTTGAGAATAGACCTGTTTCCATTTATCTATTCTTTTCTCTTTTTAAGAGATATGTAATCTCTTTCTTTCTTGTTTTCTTAGAGTGTTTTTGTTCCTCTGTCTTTGGATCTTTACTCTTTAAAGGGAATCATTTCTTAACTTAAATATACTATTTCCTAAAATAATTTAACCAATTTCCAGCATTTTCGTCACATTGACTATAACCTTTCTACCTTAAAAAGATTAATTAATTTTATGAGTCCTCAAAAATACTCGTAACTGTACATTTCTGTATGCAAAGACTTAAGGCTATAGAGTAATCTTTAATTTAATTGTGGTAGATTTTCTCTTCAGTTTCCTATTACCAACTCCGGTAAGCAGTATTCTTCGATGTCAAACATTTTAACTTTATGAACAATGTCAAAAAGTAGATAGAATTCTTGGAAGCTTTAAGAATTCGCCTATTAGTTGCCAAGGAATCTATTTCTCTTGACAATTAGGACAAGTGGTAATGCGTTAGTATACATTGACTTGCATACTTATCTAGCACTCAGTTATAACTGCCAGCAATCTCAATATGACCCGCCTATTAGGCTCTGTCTCTGTTCCATTTATTTTCAGTTTATGATACCAATTTTAATAGATCTCAGCGGAATTGTAACTGAAGACACAGATCCAATTCCAGCTATCTCATCTGCTGCTCATAGCCATTTTAGTCTTTATATGCAGGGATCCAAAGTTATATCAGATAGACAACATTTTTGACATGCCACTTATATTCTCTGAACAATAGCGATGTCCTAGTGAAATTAGTTTAGAAAAGTGCCGCCTGACTATCATTGAAAATTCCACAGATTGTGACCCAAACCTTTTTTACCAGTATTTTTCCTACATTAGTTTAGAATCTTTACTTCTTGCTTCTTGATCATATTATTTTTATTTTCAATTGTCAGATCCATTTTGAACCTTCCTATTTGTTTAGTAACTCGGACATATCCATGAATGTTTTATATAACTTTGTTTTGGTTTTCGAAATTGAGAGTGTAACTCTTCAGTTGTAAAAATGTTTATAACTGGAATAACTTTATATAAAGATCAAAGATATTGGTATATATTTCATTAATATCTTGATTGTCTCAAACATTGGGATATTTAGGGATCTACATATTTAAATTTTTTTAAAAGTTCTAGCCGATATTTGAGGTATTATTTGTCTTAAAATTGGGCTATTAAAGGATCGTAGGTAATTAGTTAGAAGCACTAGATCAGAGATACAAACCAAGACGGCTCAAACCGGCGGCAGCTGGCCGCCGGTAATATTTTGCAAGCCGCGCCGCCACCGACTTCTTTCGGCTCAAAAGCTAAACCGGCTTAAACGTAGCCGCTGATAAAGTAAAGTATTTCAGAAAATAATTTCACCAATTTGAACGGAGTTGCCACTTTTTTAAATTCTTATGGCTAATTGAAAGGAGTTGCCACACAATATTGTGCCAATATTAAAATAGTGATAACTACTATAATAATGTCCATTTTTGCAGAAAAAACTTATATAATGATATGTTTCTATATAACAGACTATTATACAAAGATTTTTTAATATAATAAACGCTTATAAGATCAATTTCTGAAGAAAAAGTTAAATTGAGCAGACAATTTAGCCGCCGCCGATATTTTCTATAATAAGCCCCCGCCGCTGACCTAAAATGGTTGCGGCGCCGCCGCCGATCATTTTGCATCGGCTTGTATCTCTGCACTAGATATCTATTTATTCGCTTTATTAAGAAAATCTTCCGGACTAGAGAGAAAGGAACTATTCTCGGCTTTGAAATGCAAATGATTGTATATGAGTTTTTACCTAAAAGGCACTATAAGTGCAAAAGAGCCTTCCATTCACAGTCTGCGAAGACTTCCACGTCTTTAAACAATTGTATTATCTAGACTCTTTAGTAGGTTATTTATTACATAATAAGTAAGGACCAGACTCCTTCAGCTTTGTGTGTATTTGTTTGGTTTATGTTATGTATCTAATGATGTTGAACTGCACTTAATTTAAGTACATAAATAATTCTTTCAGTTACATAATTATAAAGATTATTTAAATATCTTTAGTATAAGATTATACTTTCAACAATTTTGCAACTATTGTTTGTGACCTTAGGTAAAATTTCTGCAGACAAAATACATATTTTTTCATAGATATTTTAAAATATTAGTCTACAAAATACCAATTCAGGAAACTAACACCCCATAGTCTTTAGAAAAATGTAGTCTGTTATTAAACTATACAATTTGAATGCAACCTGATATTGGTTTAAGATGAAATATATTTCTTTTAAATAAATGTTTTTGTATATTTTTAATGTTATACATACTTTATACTGTCATTATCACTATAAATCAGAGTTTGACATTTACAACAATTTGTATGTAGATAAAATTCTCTAAAGAATAAACTAAAATAAATATAAATGTCGGTAAATGTAGGTTTGTTGTAATGTATACATACATATACATATATATTCACGTTTAAACGTATAAATTTATCTGATAAAATTGAAAAGAAATAAAATTATCAGGCAACAGCCAACAGATGGTGGACACTTAAATGTTGTTGTAAAAAAATTAATCCATATTTTTATACCCACCATCAAAAAAGATGGGGGGTATATTGATTTTGTCATTCCGTTTGTAACACATCGAAATATTGGTCATAGACCCACAAAAGTATATATATTATGGGTCCTTATTATATTCTAAGACGATCTAGCTATGTCTGTCCGTCTGTCCGTCCGTCTGTCCGTCCGTCGGTCTGTCTGTCTGTCTGTCTGTCTGTCTGCCTGTTGAAAGCACGATAGAGTCCGAACGGAACGAGATAGATGATTGAATTTTTTCATAAATATTCTCTATAGGTAAGGTTTGTTTGGTATTGAAAATGGGCAATATCGGTGCACGTTTTCGAATAGCCCCCATACAAGTGGACCGCCGGTAAACAGCTTTAATGGGCATATCTGTTTCAAAAGTACGAATATAGCGATGAAATACGACATAAATAAGTTTCATATGATTCAAAATCTTCGTACCAAATTTTATGAGGATCGGTCCATAATTGACCCTACCCCCCATATAAGGCCCCCTTCAGATAATTTGTTTAACGCTCATTACTGGCTTAAAAATACTAGTATAACAATGAAATTTGACATAGGTAAGTCTCTTATAATCCAAAACTTCGCTACCAAATTTTATGTTGATCGGTCCATAATTGACGCTACCCCCCATATAAGGTCCCCTTCGAAAAATCACTATAACGCTCATTACTAGTTTAAAAATATGAATATAGCGATGAAATTCGACACACATAAGTTTCATGCGAGTCAAAATCTCTATACAAAATTTTATGTGGATCGGTCCATAATTGACCCTACCCCCCGTATAAGGTCCCCTTAAAAAAATTACTTTAACGCTCATTACTGGCTTAAAAATACGAGTATAGCAATGAAATTTGACATAAGTATGTCACTTACAAGCAAAATCCATTTTAGCAAATTTTATGTGGATCGGTCCATAAACTACCGCCCATATAAGGTCCTCTTCAAAAAATTACTTTAACTCTCATTACTGACTTAAAAATACGAGTATTATTTAACGCTCATTACTGGCTTAATATTACGAGTGTATAGATGAAATTTGACATAAGTAAGTTTCTTACGAGACAAAACCTAAGAAACTTTTATAGGAACGTAAATCTTCCTACCGAATTACAAGCGGAAAGTGTCGGGAACTGATATTCGATGTAAACATGTTTTATATGAACCAAAATCGGTCTAAAAAA